ATCTATCTATCTAACATCTGACTATTTCTATCTATCTATCTATCTATCTATCTATCTATCTATCTATCTATCTATCTATCTATCTATCTATCTATCTATCTATCTATCTATCTATCTATCTATCTATCCGTCCATTATCTAGATTGATATAAACCCTCAAACTTCAATGGTTTTTAAACTTTTTTTCTATCTATCCCATCCATCCATCCATTGTTCTATGTATCCTATGTTCATGTTCTTCTATCTATCTATCTATCTATCTATCTATCTATCTATCTATCTATCTATCTATCTATCTAGATTGATATAAACCCTCAAACTTCAATGGTTTTTAAACTCTTTTTCTATCTATCCCATCCATTCATCAATTGTTCTATGTATCCTATGTTCTATGTTCTTTTATCTATCTATCTATCTATCTATCATTTAGATTGATATAAACCCTCAAATTTCAATGGTTTTTAAACTTTTTTCCTATCTATCCCATTCATCCATCCATCCATTGTTCTATCTATCTATCCATCTATCTATCTATCTATCTATCTATCTATCTATCTATCTATCTATCTAGATTGATGTAAACCCTCAAACTTCAATGGTTTTTAAACATTTTTTCTATCTATCCCATTCATCCATCCATCCATTGTTCTATGTATCCTATGTTCTATGTTCTTCTATCTATCTATCTATCTATCTATCTATCTATCTATCTATCTATCTATCTATCTATCTATCTATCTATCTATCTATCTATCTATCTATCTATCTATCTATCTATCTATCTATCTATCTATCTATCATCCATCCATTCATCTATTATCTACGTTGATATAAACCCTCAAACTCCATTGATTTTTAAACATTTTTCTATCTATCTTTTCCCCTAAACATTCAAGCCAACATTCAAAGTTTGTGTTGACAAACCTTTCTTTTCTAGTTAAAATGACCGATAAACTGATTTTCTTTTCATTTCAATTCATTTCAGTTTTACTTCCTTACATTCAAATGTGAATTGCAATTCTAAATCCTGTTTCCACAATACTGAAACTGAATTATTGCTTTGTGCGAGTATTAAAGTCTTAGATGTTTCTCCACAAAAGAAAAATAGACACAACAACACCATTAGACTAGAGTAAGACTACAGAACATTGTTTTGTGGATATTACAGTAGAATTTGATGAAAAGTGTTTAAAGTGAAACCTTTCGACATTTGATTGCAAACCTGAGCACAGTTTGAGACATTGTTGAGATCACCTCTGAAACCCCGGCGTGTGACCATGTTAGTGCAAATGGCCTGGGCCAAATCAACGTTCCAGATGACTGACATCTGAAATGATAGTTTTCCAGCGCTTTTACGGTAAGAACTATTATAGAACAGCCTAGCTATGCGATTGCTCTATATGTCCTTGAGTTTGGCAAGATGGGTGAATATGTGCACTGCAGCGAGCACCGCATACGAGAACTCTGTTATGTTTAGCAGTATTGGCCCATATCTCACACTTCCCCCACTACGCTTCATTTCTCCACGCTGCCTCTACTCTATTATTGCAAATATATTGCTATTCATAAAGGAGGAGTTGCAAAGCACTTTAAAGGAGGGTGAGGAATGAGCAGAAAATGTCTCATCTACAAGGCGAAGACAATAAACTTCCTCATGCAAGACTGCCTCGGCTGGCTTAATGTTCCCTGACGCCACGCGGGTGGAAACATTAGACTGCACATTTGTTAATCGCCTTAATCAAATTTATGTGTCCATGGTCAACCTGCACCATTGCTTTCTTTCGCAAGGCATCGTGTGAACTGCCACGTCTATTTGAGAGATTTGACCCATCAATCTATCTTAAGATGTTTTGGTGATATTGTGACAGGAGCCAGATGTTGCGACTACGTAGAAGACGAAGCACCAAGCAAGCTACGTTATTAACTTAATTGACTGCTCTAATCATACAAAATAGGAAAATCTATTTTGTCACCTAGACTTTTGCAGAAGTCTTCCACTTCTCAGATTTAACTCAAATCACATCCATCTCTTCTAGCTTCAAACGAGATCTTCAAAATCTTCAGATTTGAAGAACCTGCAAGTCAAGTCAAGTCAAGTCACCTTTATTTATATAGCGCTTTTAACAATACAGATTGTGTCAAAGCAACTGAACAGCATTAATTAGGAAAATAGTGTCAATAATGCAAAATGACAATAGTAAACACTCATTTTTCAGTTAAAGACAGTTCATCATTGAATTCAGTGATGTCAACATCCAGCTCAGTTTAAATAATATCTTTGCAATCATGTCAACGATATGGCCGGAAATGAAGTGTCCCCAACTAAGCAAGCCAGAGGCGACAGCGGCAAGGAACCAAAACTCCATCGGTGACAGAATGGAGAAAAAACCTTGGGAGAAGCCAGGCTCAGTCGGGGGGCCAGTTCTCCTCTGACCAGACGAACCAGCAGTACGGAAAAATCAATTTAAGACTTAATAAAACAGACGATGAACAATATTAACAGCAATTATTATTATATTATTATTATTATTATAAGAACCTGCAATCAAAACAGAGATTTCAATATGAAACATTTGTGATCAAATTCCTCCCAAAAAATTATCTGCTATTCAGTTTCATTTTATAGCGCTATAATAATGTCA